GATTATTCCATTCCCCTCATAAAATATCTGTTTTTGAGATGAATAAACAATATGCCAAATTCAGCATTTATCTACAAGGTGATTCTCCAAAGAACACATCAATCTGTCTATTGAAATTACTCAGCTACATTTGAATATCTTTGTATTATTGGATGTAGTCTTGTGAACAAAGATAGGAATATGCAAACTGAAAAAAAATCATGTATAAAACTAGTAGAAGCTCCTCAGGGTGCCAACATAGAAGGAAAACCTTGCTAAAACGCCAAGTGTGTAATTGAAACTAGCTGTTACAAGTAGCTAACTAACTATATATGTACCTAAGTTTGAAGGCAGATTGGAATTAAAATTTTGAAATTTCATTTTTTTTAAAAATGATTTTTTTTCAGAGTTTGCATATTCCTATCTTTGTTCGCAAGACTACATCCAATAATACAAAGATATTCAAATGTAGCTGAGTAATTTCAATAGACAGATTGATGTGTTCTTTGGAGAATCACCTTGTAGATAAATGCTGAATTTGGCATATTGTTTATTCATCTCAAAAACAGATATTTTATGAGGGGAATGGAATAATCTTTTCTGATAGGAATTACCATCAGAGTTAGAGCTACTTCTGGAGTGATTGGAAGGGAACTATCCCACTATAGAATTCATTGACCTTGTTATAGGAAAATAATGTAAAAAACAAGTTCAAGGGATATCTACATATTTGGAGACAGGAAATTCTAAAGCAGGGGTGTCAAACTTGCATCATCATGGCGGTGTCACGTGACATCAGGACTTTCCCACTCCCTTTGCTAAACTGGGCAGGGCCAGAACGTGACGTATCCGGTCTGTGGGCCACAAGTTTGACACCCCAGTTTTAAAGAAAAGGATTCGGAAAAGGACAAATAATAAAATAATTAAGACATTTCAGGCTGTACAAAGACTAGTAATTAATGCAATAAGGGTTAGTACTTTTAGGTAAATAGAAAATTAACTTTTGCAAGATTCAAGAACTCTCAGATGTCTCAAGAACTTCGCCCTTGAAATTTTTTCAGAGTTTGCATATTCCTATCTTTGTTTGCAAGACTACATCCAATAATACAAAGATATTCAAATGTAGCTGAGTAATTTCAATAGACAGATTGATGAGTTCTTTGGAGAATAACCTTGTAGATAAATGCTGAATTTGGCATATTGTTTATTCATCTCAAAAACAGATATTTTATCAGCTCCGTGATTGGTAGTAAAATAATATGACAGAAGACTGAACAAATAGCAATTTTGGATACTTATATGTGTTAATATTATGGTGCCAACAAAAAATAGGGAGGCAGACTAATAGATAGCATAAACAAATGAGCATCATGTAATTGAAACTATGATTGGAACAATCTTAATAACTCCCAACTTTCTCTTTTGTAGCCACATAGAGAAAATTACAACTTGGCAAGATCCTCGAAAGACTATGACCCAGCCATTAAATCACATGAGCCATCATCCTTCAACCACTTCCACCCCAGTATCACAACGTTCAATGGCCATGTCGCAACCCAACCTCGGTGAGTAATAGGAAAAGGAACAAGAGTTCCAAATAATTGTGACCTTCTTCTAATCTCTTTTATTGACAAACAATATACTTGGTTGACTGTGCATAATGATGAATAAACTTTGGGGACTAAGTCCAACAATTAGAGTGAGTCAGAAAATACAGAAAGCTTCTTGAAGAATATCCAAGATCCTTGTAGGAACCTTTTGGGCCTAGCAAGTTGTTGTTCATTTAACTGTATCAAATATACTATTTCTTAAGGAAATTAATCTGTGAACATCTGTTTCACTTGTGTCTCATCTGGGAATGTCTTGTAGAGACATTTACAAGATTTAAAATGAAATTGTTTTTGTTTGGAAAGTTAAGTTTGTGTTGTCTACTTGGTAGTTAACTGTATTTAAAAGAAACCTTTATTTAACTCCAACTAACCTTAACTCCACATTTAATTGTAATAACTCATATTAATACAATTGAAGCTACTTCTGTACAGGCATGCATATAATTGTGCTGCATTTTTTTATCATTATAATTAAAAATTATGGTGAACTAGGATCTGAAATAGATATTTCAGCTCTGGCTAAGATGGAACCTATTTATTTATTTGTTTGTTTATATTTCCTATTTTTACTGCCCCTCTCCCTCAGATCTGTGGAGTAATTAATATCTATTATAATTCTAATACCAAATTGTGATTAAAACTGATAAGGAAAGGCAAGGAAAGAGAAGAAGAAATACGCATCTAAATATAAAGTGTGCCTTTTACTGCATTTGATTATTATTATACTTACCTCATATACTGTATTTGTAAAGATTGGCAATGAATAAAAAATTCCGCCAAGTAATCTTTCCCCAGCCATAGCTGGTAACACTACTGATACCACTGATACTACTACTGCTCTGAATCCTGTTACATGTTCAAAATTAGATTTTTTTTTCTTTTTGTGAATCTGAGTTCCTAATTGCAAATTATATTTTCCCAGAACTTTGATAGCACATGTTAATCCCAGACATTTAGCACCTTTATGTAGCCAAAGGAAAAAGAATGTTTTTGGTTCAAATTTGAAGCAGGTTTTTTTTTTAGACCAGCCCATGAGCCCTGAAACCAGGCCTGCTGAGCCAACATTTTCCCAGACAACACAGATGGAATGGAAATTGGATAAGGAGACAGATCTAATAGTCTGGCAAAAATCTATTCAAAAACAGATTATATACTTCTGTCTTTTGCCTTAAGATATTTAGGCAACAAAAATTGTATTGGAAAATGTGCCATGAACAAGGTGGAGATTAAAAGTTTTTCTAAGTGTATGTCGTGGTCTGTTCTTATGTGGGTGTTTACTGTTGTGCTTCTTCCTAGTATGAGCTGGGAAAATTGTTTACTCCCTGAATAGCTTATCCAGTTTTACTTCACTTTTCGTCTTGTATTTCAAGAAAGGGTACAAAACACCGTGGCAGGTGTTTTATTAGTAAAGATTTCTGATTAAATAGAACAAAGTGGAAATAAATTGAAATTCAGTGTTTAACCAATTCTAGTTCTTCCATCTTTTTTGTGTCTGATCTTTGTGGTATATTGCTACAATGGCACAGTAATTCAATTTTTTTTACTTGTATATGTTATTGAACTAAACTAAAAATGGCAACAATTCCCATAGTTGGCAATATTGGCAGGTATGTTTCAGTCAGATTTGGAGGAACATAGTTTCCGCTATCCCTGCTTTATTGATGAGAAAAAGGTCTTCAACTTGTGCATGCAATGTAAGAATCTTATATCAATTTTGCGACTGTTTTACGTTAGGTCTAGAATTTCTCCTAATATGGTTAGACAGAAGGACTAGATATCTAAACCACAATGAGATTTAGGTTTCAAAGGGAACTCTCCAAATATTGTAATAAACAATTTAGTTGTTCTCATTCTGGTTATTTGCATTATGGAAGTTCTATCATCATGTTTTTTATTTATGGCTACACAATATTCCAAAACATAGTGAGATTAATAAATGTTTCTGTGCACCTGGAGGCTTTATTCTTCTTCTCTCCCTCCCTCCCCCTTACAAATGAGAGATAAGTTAGATGACACTTCAGGGACATGTGTAGAATCATTCTTTGTTTCGCTGTATTTAATGCCAAGAGATAGCAGATAATTTTCATCAGTCAACTCTACAAGAAAAGTATACACCAGAAATCAAATGAAATGCTTGAGGTTGTTTTACAGGTAAATCAGATATTCCCAACCTTTTAAAGGTCATAGGGAAAAAATGCTATCTGTTTTGGGAATNTAAACTATCATGTAGCCTCAACTCCATAAGTTGGCCCAAAAGTATAGTATTGATAGTATTGAAAGCTGCCAAGAGTTCAAACAGAGCAAAGATAGATGCACCCCCTCCTGCTCCTGTCAGAGATCCATGAGAACAATCCATTTCATTCAGTCCCATATCCAGGCCTGAAACCTGACTGAAAAGGGTCCAGATAATCCATTTTCCTTCAGATCCTCTCGAGTTACAACGTCACCATCTTCTCAACCACCTTTCCCAAAAATGGGTCGTGGGATATTGGATGAAAATTGCCCATAATTGTAGGGTCCAGCGATGGCTTCTTGAGTAGGGGACACACTGGCACCTCTTTAAAAGGAGCCAGAAATACCCCCTCCAACAAGGATGAATTCACCATCATTTGGACCCCGCCACATGATACCACCTGGATGGTCTTAACCAGCCAGGAGGATCTAATGTGCAGTTGGTAGTGTTTGTATTCATTAGCATTATGATTGTTTATGATTTCTTACTATTACTGCTCTCCCTTTCCTCTCCTTGGATGTGTTGAAAGTAGTGCTGATGGCAATGAAGAAATTAACACAATATAGTAGACTATGCAATGTCTCCATCATGGCATAATAGGCTTGCAACCTGACCTGTGTGTTAAACTAAGTTTTTTTTAAAAAAATATTTAATTACTTCCTTCCCTTGACTTTCTATTTTTCTTTCCCAATTAATAGCCCAAGTTCCCTGGCTTTGCACACCCCAACCGTAAAGTGATCTTATTCATTAATTCATTCATTCTATTTATACGGCTCCCTATCTCAAATATATGGGATATAGTGGCTAAGACGCTAAGCTTGTTGATCAGAAAGGTCGGCAATTCAGCAGTTACACCCTAGTGCCGTGTAATGGAGTGAGCTCTTGTTACTTGTCCCAGCTTCTGCCAACCTAGCAGTTCAAAAGCATGTAAAAATGCAAGTATAAAAATCGGAACCACTTTGGTTGGAAGGTAACAGTGTTCCGTGTGCCTTAGTCATGCTGGCCACATGACCACAGAAACATATTTGGACAGCGCTGGCTCTTCGGCTGTGAAACAGAGATGAGCACCACCCCCTAGAGCAGCGGTTCTCAACCTGTGGGTCGCGACCTCTTTGGGGTTCGAACGACCCTTTCACAGGTGTCGCCTAAGACCATTGTAAAACACATATTTTTGAAAAATACGGAAAACATAAAATAATTTTATGATGGGAGTCACCACAATATGAGGAACTTTATTAAAGGGTCGAGGCATTAGGAAGATTGAAACCCACTGCCCTAGAGTCAGGAACGACTAGCACATATGTGCGAGGGGAACTTTTACCTATCTCAAATATATAACTGTGTGTGGCTAACAAAATGTTAAAAGTATATAACACCCCACATAAAACACATAGCAGCCAGGAAAAATTAAAGAAGCAACTATCAGAGTCAGCTGAACCAACAAGCAGACTTTATCACATACTCTCAAGCACAGGGTTAAGTCTTCAGGATCTTACAAAAGGCCCAAAAATGTTTATAAATAAATAAATATAAATAAATATATATATCAGTGGTGTCAGGCCTGCAGTGGTTCCTTTAAGAATCTTTGGCCTGCCACACTCTTATTAAGGGGGGGATTTAGCAAAGGGTAGAATG